CCCCCCCGCCCCGCCCCACCCCACGGCAACCTGTTTTCCCTACCACATCGCCCGCTCCCCATACCGAGCCGGGGCAGTTCTTCAGACAACCTGGGATATGGATTCACTGACGAGAAACGCTGAGTTCTGTTGAATGACCCCTGCTAAGCTCCCGACCAAATTCAAGCTGTGCACTATATCAAAGTCTTGAAACTTCACTTAAAAAGAAAATAATAAAAAAAAGAGGTTAAAAAAAAAACAAACAACTTCAGCAGAGAATGAGGTTTGGGTTTTTTTTTTTTTTTTTTTTTTTTTTTTTTTTTTTTTTTTTTCTTTTTTCTGTTGTGGGAGGGGGCATGAGGCAAGAGTCCTGGTTCTGAAGTACACAACAGCAAACTTCCAACATGAAGAGATTGTCGAGGGGAGAGACATTGGTGTGTTGTATTGCTCCGCTTTCCCTCCTCCCCCCACCTAGTCCCCTGCCCCGGACACCCTGCAGAGTGAGAATACAATGAAACTGGTTTGTATTTATAGATATTTTACAAGGTTAAATAAGAACAACAATAATAATAATAAAAAATTGAACACTAAAATGAACAGGTTGGTTGGTTGGTTTGTTTTTTTTTTTTTTTTTCCCTCTTTTTAATTTTCTTTCCAAATGTGACCAGTGTTGCTGAGCAAGACCCAAATTACTGGTGATTTCTCCTGTGCAGCTGGCTGCTTGGTACCGGTTCAGGTGGAGTTGGAGGCTGATGCTGTAGCTACACTATTGGTCTGAACTCGTTCTCCTGCGTTAACATCTGCAAATGACAGGTGAGAGGAAGGGAAGAGAGAGAAAAACAGCCAGTATTACCTCCAAAATACAGACACATTTGGAACAACAGCTACGCCATTTTCCGCAGAGGGAAGCCCGCAACTCCCACCGAGGCACTGTTTGGTTAGGATGCTCTCCTGACTCCAGGGGGTGCAGGTGGAACAGTTCGGTCTGGGGAGAGGGTGGGAAGTCAGTCTTTAAGCAGGACGAAGGCAACCTCCAGGGCTGAGGGCTGCAGGCCGGCACCCCAACACCCAGCTGGGCTCTGGCAGATTCTGCAGGACGTGGCGGAAAGCCGCCCCCCGTTATGTTCCAGTAACTCCAGCAGCAAGACAAGGCACGCTGGCATCGCCGAAGCTAACGCACGGAGTGTCTGTGGCCACTACAAGGTTTTGGGTTGGTGCCGGGGTTTCATGTTGCTGGGCCTTCTGGTAACAAAGGCGCCTGTTAACTGTGCGAATGAGCACAGGCAACGAACATGGGGAGCCTCCTCCCCTGGCAGAAGCAGCTCGTGCAATCCATGCACTTGTTGCCTCAGAAAACGCCTTTCAAGCCTACTGCTTTATTTTGTGTTGCTCAACCAAAGTTGGATCTGCCACCCTCTGAACTTCTGAAGCAGATTAACATCAAGGCCTGAAGCCAGTAACGAGGTTTACGCAAGCGTACGACATCGTTAGGGGATTGGGTCTCTGCTGTAAATGGTCCCTAACACCTTCTCTTCTCTGGGAGGGACAGTGCTCCGCAGAGAGACAAGTCACAGGATCATGGCCATGTGTCAAAGTGCATTCCAAGAAAACACAGGGCTTGTAAAGAAATACCAAAAGGAAATCCAGCGTAACTGTGTTTTCATAGGCCACATGCATTGGGTATTTTCTCCAAAAAAAATTGTTCTTAGTATCAGAAGAGTTGGTGGGGAAAAAAACCCAACACACCGACTTCCTCTGGAACCATCCTATACTGTACCTAATTAGCACAGTCACGAAAAGGGCAGTGGATGAATGGTTAAACACATAAAACACCCAACCCCATAATATCTTTTTCCCATCCTGTATTTAAGTGCGGTTTTCTACAAGAGACTGCTGTGCATTTCTCCCACTTAAGTAAGGTTAACTGCAAAGCTATCAATAATGCAACAGGGAAGAAAAAAACCCAACAACAAAACCCCACACAACTGATTATCTCAGTACAAAAGAGGGCAGACTGGCCAAACACTGCATTCGAAAGACATGGGGAAAAGGACTTAAAAAAAAAAAAAGACAGAATAGACCTACTGAGCTCAGACTGCAGGACAGTATGACCAGCACAAATAATACACACGACAAGATACAACTGTCACCTGTTAACGAAACCCCTCTCCTCCTCTCCTGCCACATCAACCTGGCCATAGTCGGAAGCGCAGCCATAAGCCAAGGCAATGAAATGAATGGGAGTCTAGAGCTGGGCAGCAGCACTTGCTGAGTGACAAATTAAGTAATGTACACAGACAACAGCAACAAAAATAGGAAATCAAACAAACAGCAGCATCCAGGAACACAGAGGACAAGTGGGAAGGGAGGATGATGCCTATTTGAAAAGGAAAGGCTGCAAGGAGGAATGTGTGGGAAGAAAGGGAAATCCTCCTGCGGGCAGAGGATGCCAGACAACTGCTGTGTCTGGGATTTTCCCATTCCCTTTCCTCTCACCCCAAATTAATTGCAACCCCTCCCTCAAGAAGGAATGACCACCGTGATGATAAAAAAAAAACCCTCATGCAGTTAACAGCCCCAAGGCAGCATGAGGACAGTACCAACGTTATTTGGAAAGCTAGCCTTGCACATGGGAGACACGGAGAATTACCCCGAAGGAGCAATTCCCAAATCCCACACGCATGCAGACCAACGATGACCACGGAAATCAAAAGCGACCCAGACAGGTAATAGCTTTAAAACTCTCACTGTGCCTGTTCTAGGTTAGTTTTCAGGTATGGATAAACTCCAGGTAATGCAACATCTGCCACGCCTGATGCAAGCAGTCCAGCTGGAGCCTGTGCTGCTGGCAGAGGATTTCTCTGTGTGTGTACAAAAAGTGATTGTATTTCACTTGCTGAAATGAAACGTGCCTTTTGATCTCTATTCCTGAAGACAGCAGAGGCTGAAATCGTTATCACTGCATTGCTACTGAGCAGAGATAAAGAGAAAGGAGGAGGGGATGGAGCTACTTCATGTAACATCTGTAACATATGCTCCTTTTCTATCATCGCTCTAATGGGGGAGTTCGTGAGAAATACACGTGCCACATGTTGAAAAGGAAAGAAACCAGGTGACGCAGCCCGAGACCATTTACACAGGGCTTTTCAAACTGTATCTAGAAGTCCACCCAGGCTGGGACAGAGCACAGAGCCTGCTCAAGGCTGTACTGGCTCCAAACCTGCAAGAAAATGCTGTATTTTGATGTTCCAGCTTGCTCTTTGACTCTGTATTGACAGGACATTTGGGGAACAAAGAGGGGTTTGGTTCCAGCAACTTTTTGCCCAAGCGCCAGAAAAAGAGCACAACTGGAGTATGAGAGTCTCTGGACATTCACTTACTTGTCCTTGGGCTGAAGAGGAGAAAGTCTAGGCCTTCAGCAACGTCGCTAAAACATCTGCTTTGCAAAGCAGCGGCCCGTGCCACCGTGGAAGCCCTGCTGGGGAGCAAAGCTAGGAGCTAACATGCACCCTTCTGGTACGGGATGGATGACTACAGAGCCTGAGGTCGGGGCAGCCTCTCCGCCCTAAACTACCCACCTGACACCTCCGCCTGCATGGGCAAAGAAACCACGTTAGGGCTTAAGGGTCAGCCACTTCCCAAACTTCTTCCAAACAGAGAGCAAAAGTATCTCTCATCGATGTAGAGCACCTCCTCCCATTCAGCTTTTCCCCTCTGAGGAAGGTCTCAGCTTTCTTGAAGGGTACGTGACGCTCCTTAGAAACCTCCCGGAAAGGAGAGATGGGGCTACAGTCCAGAGAAAGACAGAGACACCAACTCGGTCCGAGAAAGCCCATTAGCACTAATGGCAGCATTAGGTGGTTGGATTTGTAATGCTGACAGTCTGGGCTGCTCATCTGCAAAGATACAGAAACAGAACTACCACCAGCCCGGGGAGTCCTCAGAGGACAGCTGAGGAGCCAAGCGGAAGGAGGAGAAAAGCCCGGTTTTCCTATTGTGCCTGCCTACGGATGTAGAAATCCAGGGCTCAGAGCAAAACTGGCAAGCTTAAAGCGTGCAAGTTTTGCTCCTCTAACTGTCATGGACTCATCCCCGTGTGGAGCTTGCAGAAGGCCATGCAAATTGCTTGCCCCTCTTCTCCCGGTTAAGGAATTACAGTTTTCCAGAACTCCTCCAATGGGAATCCCGTAAATGCACTGAGTTCTTATTTTATGGAGCACTGTGGTCTTTTTCAACGGCCACGCATTGGCAGGTAACACCAGCTCTAATCTGCTTTGTTGCTGAAAGTTCAGGCACACCATCGCTTTTGGGATTACACAGGATCAACGCAGCAGGATGCCCAAGACGATGACCCCATCATCCCTGCTGGCACAACTCCCCTGCAGATCATCTTAACACTGACTAATGGGGAGGTAACTACTGCTGCTGGCTGATCCAGGGAGAAAAAACAAGTAGCCACACAAGCAGATATGCTCTCGGCTTGGTCTGCATGCTCCCCTCTCAGATGCTGTGGGCTGCACGGCTGTGAAAGCACCCTCTTCCTCCTCCTCCTCCAGCTAGGTCAAGTCAGCATCCACACAAATAGAGCTGCACTGGCATTTTTAATCAATGGCCAGCATAATTCAGTGAATGCTAGCACACCACTTCAAGCAGGGGCCAATAACTCCCATCCTCCTTTTCCTCCACTTTGCTTTAGACATGCCACTATCGTCACAGAGAATTTCTCAAACGTTTGGGTGAATTTACTAATGCCGGTGCAGCAAGGCTTCATACGCCCACTGCAAAGCCAGGTTCCATCAGTACCGTGAGTCCAGCTTCATGCCTCAAGACAAGAGGAAATTTACAATGAAAACATTTTTTTAACTCTCAAAAGTTACCTACAATAATTCCCCTGTGTTTAAGATCATGGTCCCAGGATTACTGTTGCATGGGGCTGTTGAAGTCACCATTGTGAATCTATCAGTTAACAGAAGTTACTCATTTTGGATAAATTGTAAAAATGCGGATGTGTGTCATATTGGTTAGCACAAGGGCAAGTATTCCTGGCCTGATGAAACCTATTAATGGGGTTATGTCGAAAAGCCAATCTTTCCATCTCTTCACGCCACACCACTGCTAAGTCTCCTGGCAAACACTACTTCGCTAGACTTTGGACAAGCAGATCTCATTTTTCTAGTTATTTTTTAACTATGACCCTGCCTCGGTGCATGATAGAAAGCAGCGGCTTTACACCTTATCAAAAAGCTGAGATTCTGACGTGGCTGCATCCCAATGTGACAGCTATGAAAATGGAGTAGGCCAGGTTGGACGGGGCTCTGAGCAACCTGATCTAGTTAGCGGTGTCCCTGCTCCTGCAGGGGGGTTGGACTAGATGACCTCTAGGGGTCCTTTCCAACCCAAAACATTCTATGATTCTATGAACAACAGCCCAGCCAGATTATGCACGGTGATGAAGCAGTACGCCGCACTGCCACGTATGGGCACCTTTGCCTCAAGCTGACAGAGGAGGCAGCTACGCTGGACATGAACAGCAGACACCTGAACCTCAGCATCAGCTCCGCTTGCTAGAGGGAGACAAGAGTTACATGCTAATAGTGTGGGTTACAGTTATGTGTAACTTGCTTTGCCCTTTGAATTGCCTTGAGAGCTACGTTTTGTAGCATCACCACCACTCAAAAAAGTAGTTTCTCGACTTGTACTGCTTGGTCACATGAGCAAGTGTTTTGCAGAAAAGCCTCCTGCCTGTCGGGATGCCCTGGGTTAGGTGGGAGAATTGCTCTCGGGCTGTTTTAGCAGGTACTGAAGAACAGAAATTTACTTGTCTGGCATGTGCCGGGGGAAAAAAAGTGGCCCCTTCTGTGGAAATCTCTTGCCAAGTGTAGCGTCAGCAAGCGAAGCACAACAGATTAACGTCACCTCATACCGGGCCCAATCTTACACATCACAACTCTGATGAAATTCCCACTGCCTGTTGTGAGAACCCCATGTGAGTAAGAAACTACCAAGCAGCTGTGCTGCAGAAACCCAAAGCTGCGTGTTGCCCAACACTGAACTTAATTTCACAATTTCTTTCCAAGCTGCAAGGATATTTTTTTGGGTTTTGAACTACAAATAAGAGGTCCTATGCCGACTCATGTGCAGTGCTTGCAAACAGGAGGTTAAAAAATGTTGACACCAGTCAGGTGGGGTTGGTTTCGGCTTTTCTTTTAGTATACTTCACTTTTAGGACTCAGGCTAATGCATTCTCCCTCCACATGAACTCTTGGAAAATGCTGGGTGAAAACAGACTTTTTAACCCCCTTAATTCCTCAAGACTCGTATCCTGGCAAAAAGAACTCCTTAAAAAGGCATGAAAGGGACTTTAAGTGAAACGGTATTTTTTCAGAAGGCCTTAAAATAGTTTTCCATGTTTGTATTTTGTAGTTTTTCAATCACTTTTACTACTTATCTGCTTTTTTCCTCACTTGTTGAGCAACAGATGCACATAAAAGGGAAACAGAGAACACGAGTATTTGCAAAATACTGCCAAGTTTATGAAACAAACATACTAAATTTGAAAATAGCAATTTTGCTTTCCCCTAAATCCAGAGCATATAAATTGTACTGCTACTAAATTTTCAGAGAGAAGCCTCAACTTTAAAGCCCAGGCACATCTGTCTGTCCTGGAGTATGAAAATGCTTTCTGTACAGCACCAGCTGGACCAAGTGCATCCGATAGCAGGTAACTGTCCGGCACACCAACCTGCAAATGCTTTCCTGCACATTTCAAGAGTACCTTTGTAATTAGCGCTTCTCCTGATCAGCTGTCTTACACTGAATAAGCACCCTGCACCTCAAAAGGGGGTCACGGTCTTTGTCAAATGGGACTGAGGTGCCTGCAGGATGCGTATGGAAGCACACCCATTTTGCAGCCTGCCTTCGGCCGCCCAAGCCCCGAGACAGGCGGCTGCTGTGCTGACTCAGGGCTGACTCAGAGGAAGAGTGCCGCGTACATGAATCACCTCTGCCACATCCTGCAGCACCTAGGATTTTCTCTGGGAGTCTCCCAACTGGTATTATCCAGCTTTTAAGCTTTCACTGGAAACAGAAAACAATATGGAGTGGCTACAGGCCAACAGTGAGCTTTTAAGAGGTTTCTGACAGAAACTTGAGAGAGTGAGAGAGGCAAAAAAGAAAATCACTCAGTGCTGGCCAAAACCCAAAGGCATCTGCCATGTGCCTGAAGATGACACAAGCAAACTCAGTAAGAAGCAACTGCAACTACTTGGATGAGGCAGTGAGCACACCGACTGAACTCCCTAACCTGACTTTTAAGTGCTGTTGCCTTTGGGGAAAAATCCTCTCCATCCACACTCCAGAGAGGCCACACATACTGACTAGCCATTTCTTCTTTTCCCAGGCATCAAACACTCATGCTCCAAGTCAGTATTAATTTTGGACTGTCTGAGAGCTCAGAAATTAGGTGTAAACCAACCCTGCTAAAAACAGGACTGCTAAAAACCAGGGCAGGTAATGGTACTTTTTAATAGTGGAAGTCTGAGCAAGAGGGACCAACAAATGAAACAGTCTAACGTGGAGTCTAAGTGCCCTGGGTTAGGATTTGGGGTGGTGACCACAGCTAGCACCCAAGTGACCACCTGCCAAGAGCAAGTTTCATGTGATGCTGGAACGAACCCTTCCTCCCCATTCACCCTGAGGGCGAGGTGCAGAGGGAAGGTGCCTGGGCAGAGGGAGCGAGGGTGGGGAGGGAGGCAGGCAGGCGCACGTTCTCACCTGAGGCCGCTGTAGCATTTGTAGGGGTTGAAGCAGCTGCTTGGTTCCGGGCATGAGCAGGGATGAGGATCGAAGCCAGAGATGGGTTACTTGACAGTTCTGGAGGGGAGGTGGAACAGACAGAGTTAGCTCATCGTCCACAAAGAGCCCTGCATGCAGGCTCAGCTCCTTGGGTTTACCCCCCGTAACAGCAACCTTGGGTGAAACACATGCCCTGACAGCCAAAGGTCGCGTTACGTTTTCTTCTTTGCCGACCAGCGAGAGGAAACCACAGCCATATCCGGCAAGGCAGTCTCCGGAGCAAAACTGTCAAAACTACAAGTAGTGGTGCAAAGGAATTATTTCCAAGAGAAAGGCAGGGGCTTGGAGGTTAGCAAAGAACCAGCCCAGCCTGTTCCTTATCAACAGCCTGATAAGGCAGTTTCCTTCTGAGCACTGGAAGGACTCCCTTCACAAACCCACTTGCAATCAGTCTCAAGGAGAAGGCTGATAACAGTGGTGTTGCTTTGGGCACTGTTTCAGCAAGCAAGAAGCTGCCACAGTTAGACCAAGAGCTTCGGGGATTCAGTTCTTTGGCTCACTCAAGCATCACTTTGTCAAGGACCCAGGAACCCAAGACCAATCTCTCACAGCAGTCTCTGTGAGCAAGGCCAGGAAAAGGTAACATCTCCTTTAAAAGCACAAGAAAAGGCAAAGGGAATTGGTCTGTTGGGTAAATTAAATGGACAACAAAATGATGCAACTATTCTTTCTGAAGACATAACCAAGGGCGGGGGGGCGGGGGGCGGGAAGTCATGTCTTTTAGGTTCCCAATCTAATACAGCTTCAATGTGTACCAGAATGAGAAATAGGCATCTTACAGCCACAACTGTGGGAGGACTAAGGGCAACACATTGCCAACAAATGACAATCTTCTGGCACCCTTCCAAGAGAAGCTAGTGCCTCACAGAAGGTGGGACTGAGCTGAGACAAGACAGGTCCTGTTTGTTTCAGAAATAGGAATGAATGACTGTCTCTTGAGAAAGCAACATCCAGTGAAAAGGATGTGAACAGTCACCTCACGGAAGGAGACTGTGGACTTTTGGAGCTCCAGGAGGTCATCTGGAGGAGAAATGAGAATAGACAGCTTTTTACCTAAGACCTCCAGATAGCAAGGGCTGTACAGAAACCAGTCCAAATCATACCGTGGGTTCAGTAAGGTGGTTTTGTACACAGTCTTAAATTATTCGGGCTCATTTTTAAGAGCCATTGCTTTTCTTTAACACGAGCTTTAAACTTAGGGCCTAAAGGGATCGACCAGCAGTCTACTTGGTGATTTTTTGGTTTTGTCCATTAAGTTACATCAAGTTTCTTTACTGCTGGGAGGGCAAGATGCAGAAACCTGCTTACAAGCCTCTTATTACTACACATTTTGAGACTGTGATACAGCATGTATGAACACAAGCTCCAGTCTAGAACCAAACAGAAGCTGCTATGTTATCTGCAACCCATCCCACCTATCCTGTAATACTGCATTCTGGTCTAAGCAGAACTAGCTAGTCCTTCTACAAAGCCTCAATCCTCACAGTATTTGAACAAATACTAATCTTCAAATTCATATGGGAATAATTCAGAATTCATATATTCATAATATATAAATTCAGAATTTGCAAGTCTCCATTTTAAATAGAAAAATAAACTGAAGAAACGTGAATCCTCAAGTGTTGAAGCTGAACACCAGTAATAAACCTACACTTTTTTGGGTATTAGTTTCTCCGTGCTAGAAGATGTTGCTCCTTTAGCATTTTTTCCAAACCTATTTCTCAAATCTGTTATTACTGGGAATCTGACGTTTACCTCGCTCTTTTAAAAGTTTCTGTCATCCCCATATTGTTTTCTGCTCATCACTGGCAGCAATACGGGGCTGTGACCCAAACAAAAGCAGAACTAAAACATCAAGGAAACCAAATGACATTTGCCACCTTCCAGTGCTAAATGGTGCCTTGAGGATGCATCTCTAGACTGCCTGCACCACTGTAGCCAAAGAACCAGCTGATCTGACAGAACAGCAAGTGCCTTGCAATGACACTTTGGCCCCATGCTCATTCCTCCCATACATTCATCTAACACCCTCAGAACACCTCCTTTTGCAGCACCCATTATGGCAAGTATACTGGTTTTTTGTTGTTTTTAAGGCAAGTGCAACTATTTCTCTGAAGCTACCTTGAAGAACTTGCACAGAGAGCGGAAAACTGATTTTGTTCCCTTCTTCTCAAACCCCAAGTTATCTTTCTTGGTATGAAGTTTCTTAAATTCAGTGTGGTCTCAATGTCTTGATGGTTCACTTAGAGGAACAGGTCAATTCAGACAAGAAATAACCAAAGTAAATTGAACTCTTTTGGCTGAAGTTTAATAGCAGCTTTGCTTGAGAACTTGTGCAAATTTTTGTTCTGCCATATTTTTGCAGCTATGCCGTCTGTAAGGATGAGACATGTCGATACTGAAAAAAAGCTTGACCTGTGGCATCTGCAGTCTATACAGTATGGAGAACCTCCATTCTTGGTGATTTCCAATACAGTATTTGGACAAGCTGTTGAACGTAGCCTGCTTATCTAAATCAAACTTGCAATTCAAGGTTGGGTTAATTACAACCAATACTGCTGCAAGAAGGTATCAAGAATCAAGGCAATCCAGACAAAATTTTCAGTACCATGATGTGAATAGAGCTGTTATCCCAATTCATTTATGAGAGCCAACTCCCATTCATGTCAGCTGGGAGAACACCTCCGGCAAATCATGCCATTTGCAGACAGTTTAAATCTCCAATTAGGAACAGGAATGGAAACGTCCAGTTTTACTAGAACACCAGATCATCTTCGTTCCTCAAAACCAAGAAAATACTTGGCTTGGGAAATAGCGCAGTGCTTTTTTTCAGTATCCTTATATTTGATATATCAACACTCCCAGAATCCCCTGGAAAAATTAGTTTCATGTTGGCTTTGTCACAATAACAAACCTTCCATGTAATTCAAGTTATTCCAGCAGTTTCTCCTCAACCTAGAAGAGTGCTGGAAGCAGCACAAGTTTTATCATTTTCCTTTCTTCCCCCCTCCATGTGCCCTGAGTAGAAATACTCTTGTCTGAAAAAACCTAGATGGCACTCAAATGGTCACACTAAGGAATTCTGGTCACACTGAAACAGTTTGGTTAGAAATGAAAGGATAATATATATAACCGTATATATCTTTTTTTTTAAAGGTTATGAGCCAGACTCATTTAAAAAAAAAAAAAAAAAAATCAAACCCACAACACAAAACCCAGACACTTCAGCCAAAAAGTCATTTGTCATCGAGAAGCATGATAACCATTCCTAAGTGCTGAAGGAATTTTACAGTCTTTAGTGGCCAACGTGGAGTGACAGTAACATTTGTGACCCAGCACAATCACTGACATGTTACAAGAAGTTCAGGAACTGGTCGTCATTTCACAGACTGTTTGAAAATTCAGCTTCTAAGAGAAAAATTGCTTTCTGTGCTTTCTGCCTTGCAGGTCTAACAGCCACCAAACTGCAGCTCTGTGGCTAGTGGAGATACCTCCTAGGCCAAAATAATGTTTTCAAATGCCAATTAGCGTATAACATTTGTTTAAATGTTAAGAGAAACTTACAGGCAAGGCATTATTCTTAATAACCATTCCTAATAACCTATTCTTAACAACAACCAGATAAAGCGCTCTGACAGATCTCACCTCCGCAATAAAGTGCCTTCATGCCCCACAACCACTGCTGGCAGCCAAAGACCATGATCTTTATCTCCCATATGCTATCACCACTTTTTTCTAGACTGTATCTGAGCAGCATCAGTGCCCAAGATCAGCAGATTTTATATGATGCTTAGGTTCTTTCTGAAAATTGATCCAATACATTAATGGTCAGATTTATGTTGTTATTTCTAACAGTTCAAGCTTTCTGCAGCTACCTCCTACTTCATGGGTTTCAGGCAACTGCATATAGCCAGATAAAACACTTCTAAAACTTAACATTGTCTGTTGAAAACCAATGGTGTTCAAAACAAAAGTATGTCTTTCATTACTTTTTAAATTACCACAGATGACTTAGCATGAGTCATCATCTGATTTCCAATGACCCGATCTATTTCCCAGTTGGAATTTCTGCTCTGGACTAGCCAATTTGACAGGACCTTGCACAGTCTGGCTAAAGAGCAAGGACTGCACAGTGGTCACAGGAGGAGCAAAAGCTTCTTGTGTATCTTGCGGTCGTCATCAGAACTGCTGCTACATGAGACTCACTGCTGCACATTTTTTCATTATGAAGGTCTTAAAATCACTGCACTACACAACGTATTTATGTATTTTAAAAAAACTCTGGTTATTTTTTTGAGTTTGGCTGGTCACCTGCAACAGAGCTTATTTGGAAATGCGTTAGTGACCAGTCTCTGTCCTGCCTTCCCTTTTTAGACGGTAAAACTGGCACCTGCCAGTGACAGAAACCTGCTTTTTTGTACCTTAAGGAATGGATTTCTCTTGCCATTCCCATGAGTCACTGTGTAAGGGGAGAGCACATCAGCTCCTTAGGATGGCAAAAGAGGAGCTTTAAATTTGCCTGAGCGTTAGTGTAGCTTACCCAGCAGTTCCCACACTGTCTGGGGGGAAACCAGGGACTCGTTCCCAATACATACAATTATTTTTCCCCTAAGGATTTTTAAAAAGACTCATTACAGAGCTTTCCAACCCTTTTTAAAATCCTTGTTTTCACATAGTAGATAGGCCCATTCTTATAATCAAGAAACAATTAATAAGAAATACTTTCAAAAAGAACTGAAATTCTGTATTCTGAAAAGCTGTATTAAGATACTGGGATCAAAACTATCTTAGCTACTGAAGACAGCCTTAGAGCGGGAAGAAAAGGCAATTCATGAGTGCTGTAACAAGGAAGGACCTGTAACATAACCACTAAATGCATAACAGATGCAGAAATCAGCACAGAGGACAGTGGCCTGGAAGCACAAGCTATTTCTTGAACACTTTAAGGTGTTTATGCTTTGGAAATGTTTTAGTTTATTCAATATATTTTTTACCTTCTGCAAGGCAGCCACTCAAACCAAGTTAAAAGTTTATTTCTGGGCAGCTTCAAATACTATTTTGGACAGATACAAAGCCTTTTGCCCCTGTCCCCCTGCCCTCCCCCACCCCCTTTTTTTTTTTTTTTTTTTTGGTCCCCCTTTTTTTTTTTTAAAATTGCATCTTTAGTGAAAAAGCAAAAGAAAATATTTATGATGGAAATTAGTAGCTTGATAAAACAAAAAATTTCTCTTAAAAATCATCAATTTTTACCTATTGATCATAAATCTAAGAACTCTTGGGAGAGTACACCCCTGGGATACCTCCAGTAAAATTCCCTGTATCTTGGGTTTTTTCCATAATAAATAGGTACAAGTTTTGGTAGAGTTTAACTACTTTTGCAGGGTAACCCTTTGAACTAAAGATCTTATTGGGATATTTTTTATTATAAATGAGAAATTGCTTTATTTCCTTCACTAAGGGCTCCACATGTTGAAGGAGAGGGCTCTGTTTCACGTTTTGGCAGATGGGCATTGCATACACTAAAGAGTTTGAAAAATTACATTAATGCTAAGTGAACCAAAAGGTGTTTTAGGCTTTCAACAGAAAATGCACACAGATCTATTCTTGCTCAAAGGGGTGAGAATTGGCAGCTAATCACTTTAAAAGTGCTGCAAAATTAATTACTAGCATATTTGCATGCCATACTTCTCATATTCTGTGTCTTGGCAGGCAAAACTGTTCTAGGGGGATATCAGTTTTACATTTCTGACTTCTGTGGAAAAAAAAATACATGAATGGTTTTAAAATTTGATACCAGTCTGGCTTCAAATAAAAAAGTTAGTTGTCCGTCATTTTTACACTTTCTAAATGACTGAGTCAATGTAATGCCAGATGAACTGTATGGCACAAAATCTGGACGCTAAAGCCTTTGTATCTATCTCGCATCTAGAACCAAAATGGGCAGCAACACTACAAACCTCCCTGCCAAACCTAATATACATTACTCTCTGCTGTGGTATTTCAGGTATGAAGGAGCAGGATCATCTCCAAAACAATAATCTAATCTCCATGGTCCACTGACTGCGATATTTCACACAAACCCATCAGCTAGGTTGCAGACATTGAACTGCAAACGTAAGCTTTCTTGCTACAATCCAATAGCAACAACCCTTGGACCCCTGCACTAAATCACTAAATTTGAATTGAAGGCACCCGGCATCTGAAAATCCCGTAACCTGTTTCTTCAAGTCCCTTTCCTCTCTTTTTGAAGTGGACAGCTGGTCATACAACCGCTTAGTAATCTTAGTCCTGCTCAGAGATTTTTTTTTTGTTTTTTTTTTACTTTTGAGGGAGTCACATCTGCATTACAGCGAACATTTATCCCAGTGCTTCTTCCTAAAGAAGGGATCCTTCAACGCTCACAGGCTACCTTGAGTGGTGAAATTGAAGAGTGCAGGTTTCTCTCGCCCATTTGGTAACTTGACATTTGGGTCCCGTAGTTCATCGAAGAAAGAGTGCGCACAGGCCTCCAGGGGAGTCAGGCGGGCAGTGGGGGTGTACTCCAACAGACGGCTACATAGCGCAATTGCTTCTGGTGGAGTGCGGGGCCGGAAGACCTAAAAAAAAAAAAAAACAAGCAAGGAGAAACACGTTGTCTGGCTATGTTTCTGTTCTTTGCTGACCAGAAGCAAGTCAGAGCAATTAAACCTCTCGTTGCCCAACGAGCTGGAACAAACTTGTTGTTTGTGCTAATCAAAGTCCTCCAGTACGGATGGGAAAATCCAGTTCCTGGGGTTGAGAAAGGGTTAATTGCAATGTCTTGTGCTAGAGTGAAGGTGCAATGCCAGCAAGAGACTTCATGAGAGCGCACTCAGAAAAACAACTTTAAGAATGAAGGGGAAACTCATTCAGAAAACCATGACAAACACACACAGGTGCTACCAGCCATGCATATGGGGTGGAGTGAAGGTGGGGAGGAGGGTTCAAATGAGCAGGATTCACTGAATGTAAAAACTGAATAAGGCCCCGCTACGGTTTAGGGTTGGGTTTTTTTTTTGGCTAGTGAATGAAGTATATTACTAACGTGGACTTTTGCAGGCAGGCCGGTCAGATTGTTGCTATGGAGGCTGCTGTTCAACTTTGGAGAACAACAAGGAAAGCACGGGTGGGGTGCAGGAAATGTCTAGCTCTAATTTGCAAGTTACTCCTTCCGTGACCTTATTCTGGCAAGTCATTCCCATAAATTTATTGGGATAATTCCTGCACATTTGGTATTTGTAAGGGCAGCTGAAAGTTACGTCAAGAGAACCAACTATTTTCCTCTAACAGATTTTTACCTGGAGTGATTACAAAAAGGAGTTCTTCACTGCAGCTTTGTTTTAAACCTCTAAGAACGGTTCTACCCACTCCCATCCTCCTTCCTCATTACGTCAAAAGCAAAATATGAGTTAATCATGTACATGACCTTGATAGCCTCCTCAAGCACTTGTCTCACTATGTCGCAGGCGATACGCAGGCTGGGGAAAAGGGAGTGGGGTGGGTGCGAGTGTTAAGTTCTGATGCCAGCATTTTTGGTAAAAATTGAGCTAATCCAAAATGCTTTTGCACCAGTGCAGGTGAACACAAGCCGCACAGCACCAAGGAGGAGGAGGGAAAAAAAAACCCAAACAAAACAAACAAAAAAAATCAGTGCATGACATGCTAGTTAATCAGAGATGAGGGACTTGCACAGGCACTCCTTAAGGAGGTTTTAAACCAAAGACATGTGCTCTCGTGAATTAGAATCAAACACAAATGCTAAGTTCTCTGGGGACTGAAATTTTATCCCCTTGCTGCCCAGGATGGCTCATGAGCACCTGGGTTTGCTGCAGTGTGCGCTGTGCTAACTAACTTGTGTGGCAGGGAACCCCGACTTGGGGAGTCAAAGAGCCAGGTACTGAAAGAATAGAATTTATTTCTACTACTGGGCTATTGCAAAACAAACCAAAAAAGTTTTCACAGGAGGCCTATAATGACAAAAGGAAAGGCTTTAGTTTAACACTGCCAGCAGAGAATTCTGCTGGCCACTGTGCCGTGAATACACGGTTATGTGGAGGGGCAGCAGAAGCTGTTCAGTGCCAAGACTGGTTGCCTGCAGAGCTCGGAACGCTGACCACAGTGCAAAGCAGATGCAAGTATCACTCCCAAGTCACAGCCTGACCAGAACAAAGTCTAAGACTGCCTCCGATTAAAAAAAGAAGAAAAAAAAAAAAAGTTGTTTTTTCTTTAACTCCATGGTAAGTAGCACAAATGAACACATCTTGAGGTAAATCCACAGAAGTGAAGTCACTTGGTATTTAACATGAGGTAAAACTACTGAGGTCTCCCTCATCCACCTTCTCACTGATGTTTTAACAGGCTTGATTTAGCACAGCTTGAAACTGAAGTACTTCACTCTTTGCTGTGGTTTGCCTTCAGGACAGCTCACATATCAGCTACTAGGCAGATTTTTAAAAAGAAAAAAAAAATCTTTTTTTTTTTCTTAAGGCAAAGACAACAAGCCCTTATCTTAAGCAAATTAGTAGGCAGACAGTCGCAAATCTGCCATCTGTGAAAAGAGTACTCGTGTTTGTCCACTCTTCAACTCCTCATTTTCAGGTCAGTGAAACCCTAACATCTGTTTCCTAAACCCTGTTGAGAACTGCTCGGCCTGCCTTTGGATCAGAAATTAAGTCACTTAGGGCAGGCACTTCCCAAAGTCTGCCCTAACTGCTTCAAACCAGGGAGGGAAAAAAGTAAGAAATAAATTAGAAGGCCTCCCATGGCCTCCTCCTGCAGCAAGTGGCGACTAACACATGAACTGAGTTAAAGGTCTGCGCCCGTCCCATCTCGATCACCTTGTGTTACAACATTGGCCTGGCTGCTGCCTCAAGGATGCGGTCTGAACTCAAATATTCCACTTCTAGCATTTCTCTCCTCCTTTTCAAGGCTAGGCCTAGTAATTTGAAAAAATGTTTAAGTACATACCCGTACTCCTGAGGTGAAATGTCCTGTTCCTGACGAGTCCTAAAGATGATAATGCAGTGAAATAATCCAAACAGGGGGAGTCAATCCAAAAGAGAATAGTCCAGCAAGGAAAAATATAGCCAATATTATAAGAAATCCATGGTGTGGGGGACATAGAAAATGTTTATACAATTAGAAACTTTAAACATCAGTCTCCATAGCAGCAAGTCCAACTTCACCACAGTGTATGCCAAAAAATCGATTGTGCAATGGTGAGGCATAGTATAGAAACATTTCTATATTAAATTTATGTTCCAATGCCAGTGCATTTACTAAAAAAAATAAAAAAATTGAAATCAAAACTCTAACTCGAACTAAAAGGGTAATTGAAATTCCCATCATAAAGAATTTTCAGTCCTTGGTCCTGGATATAAACGTCCACAGACAATGGGGCCAGATTAGTTTGTCCCCAAAGGTGCATCCCACTTGCAAATCTGTCCCAGAGACACAATGTAAACTTTTGGGTTGTTTTGTTTTGTTTTTTTCCAAAAAAACCAAACCCCTAGCAATTTGCAATTTGTGCTGAAGAGAAAGTAAAAATCCGAGATCTGTACTTTGAATTTGGATGCTTTTAATTTGTGTGAGCTACAAGTGCCTCAGGCCGCCGCGGATTATTCTCCATTTTGGATTGACTTCCCCTGCCACTGGATTTTGTTTGCTGGCGTTATCTCTTTAGGATTCTTCAGGAACTGGACGTACCACCTCAGGAATGCGGGTATGGACTGAATTTCTCTCTATTGCGGGTTTATTCCCCCTCATACCCGTCGCACCCGTTACTTAAGAATTTTTTTTCCCCTCAATTTGTCCCCTCCCGCCTCCCTTTTGAATAACGCCCTAAGAAATAAAAGCAAAACCCTCTGCGGTCTTTTAGCTCTTCCCATTCAACACAGTTCCACCGGGAAAGCTGCCCAATTCGCCCACCGAGAACTACACGAACGGCTGCCGCCCCGGCCATGGGGACAACCCCGCGACGCTTCCATGCCATGGGGCGCCGATGCCGAGGCAATGCTGGGCCGGCGCTCCGTGGTGGGAAGGGGTGGGAGGGTGGACAGACGGCGGGACCCATGAGCTGTGAAGCCCCTCGCGCGTATGACTCAGCGGGAGATTAAGGTCTCTGGTAGTTCTCAGTGAGAGAATCGATTTAGTAAATAATCCGCGGATTATTTTTAGTCTGCGGACTAAAATTTAGTGCACGGACTAAAATCCGGCCCATCGGAGCAAAGTCTGTCTCGGTCTAAAATACATCTGGGTGAAAGCAAAAGAAAAAAAAAAATTAAAAAAAAAGAAAGAAAAAAAGGAGAAAGGAAAAAAAAAGGAAAAAAGCTAAGTGCACAAAGTAAAGTGTTTGGGCGGACTAACATTTAGTATGCAGACTAAATATGGCCGGGCAAAAGGCACAGCAAGTCCACAAACGAAAACCAAAAATAAAACACTGACAGGAACTTTTAAAGCAATCAAATACTACCCCACCGGCGCAGCAATTCATTTTTCTAAAATGAAACAAGACCTTGTGTAAGGCTATTTGTCCACAGGAGGGACCGAAGGCTCAAGTTTTCATTTTAAAAAATGAACCTGTTTTGGAGATAAACAAATGCAAAAAAAAGGCTTTACATACAATATTCTTCAAGGAAAATTTGCACTTGCATAACTCAAAACCTCTTGTTTCTGCAAAGCAAATGAATTTCAGGCTGAGACCCACGTCGCTGTTCTTTTGGTTGGTTGGGTGTTTTTGGTGGGGTTTTTTTGTTGTTTGATTTTTTTTTTTTTGATGAGTTACAAAAATCTCTGAATGGTATGTCAAATGGAAATGTTGGCTCATCCAAAACCACAGCTTTTGGTGCCTTTGGATTTCCCCCACCCACCCCTTCAGATCCCCAAAAATCTATACCTCACCAAAAAGCTGAGGGACCAGTGCAAGTTCTTTCTTTGTTCAGGCATGCTGGTGATGCTCAAATGCTGACAGACTGTAACAGCTAGACAAGCAAGGCCAGACGCACTCCTCTCTCCTTTCTAAGCTACGCTGCTATCAATGTGAATTTTTTAATGTTACTCCCCCTTCATTTTTCTGGAACTACCAGCATCTTCAACATTTAAAAAAATGATTGACAGGCTTAAATGCCCCTGGTGCAGTATGTGGCTCTCATCCCCAACCAACTTCAATTTAGATGAAGTCTTTGTGCACGAGCAGAGCAGTCACATTTTATCTTACTAATTTGAAATAGTTTCTACCAGTGTAGTGGAGTTCATGCCCCTTCCGATTTTTTTTTTTTTTTGCACACACAGAAAAACGAAAGAAAAAGGATGGAAAGCACAGGATTCTCCTATTTCACTTCACTTGCATCAGCATTCAGCTCTCAAATAAAACCACATGGGGTAAGAGCGAAGCATTGTTTTAACAGAATGGTTGCTCTGACTTTCAGTTCATTGACATTCTTTGAACAGACTTTCCATGCACAACACAGAGCTCCGTCGTCTTGGTCTAATTAAGCCCCAAAGCCAAAGCTTCACAATGTTACACCAAGGTGTTCTTCTAGCCAGTGTGTATTAAAAGACATGACTTCATGCCATCAAC